GACAGATTCTTGTTTTTCAAAGCTTCCGGACCGGAGTGTGAGGTGGTGAAAAATATCCTAGAAGAATATGAGATGGCATCGGGTCAGGAGATCAATTTTCGAAAATCTTCGGTCACGTTCGGTCAAAATGTGGTCGAGACTTTTAAAACTTATTGTTGTAATTTTTTTGGCGTGCCGCAGGAAGGTGGACAACAAAAATATCTGGGGTTACCAAGTTTGGTGGGACGAAATAAAACAGCTATTCTGGGATTTATTAGAGACAGGGTGCTCAACCGGATAAAAAGTTGGAACAACCGATTTCTGTCCAGAGCAGGGAGAGCTGTGCTTCTTAGGAATGTGGTTCAGGCAATGCCAACGTATGCTATGAATGTGTTTTTATTACCTCTGGACTTATGCGACGAAATGGAGAAGCTGATGAATGGCTTTTGGTGGAAAGGCACGAAGTTCTAGCAGAGAGGGATAAGGTGGCAGAGATGGGAATTACTCTGTAAACCAAAAAAATATGGGTGGTTTGGGCTTCAGGAAGATCCGGGAATTTAATCTAGCTATGCTCGCTAAACAAGGCTGGAGAATTATCACCAACCCTGACAACTAGATGAGCCGTATCCTTAAGGCTAGATATTTTCCTAAGACCAGTTTCTTACAGGCAAATCTTGGGAACAATCCTTCTTACATCTGGAGGAGCAATTTGGAGACCCAAAATATTTTAAAAGCAAATATCAGAAGACGGGCTGGAAATGGTAGGGAGATTCAAGTTTGGGCCGATGCTTGGTTGCTGGGCCAGGGGGATGGGAAGATTAAATCCCCAAGACCCATTGGGATAGCTGACATGAATGTAGCGGCACTGAGGGACAGTTCAGGGAAGAGCTGGGACATAGGGAGGATTACAAACATCTTTACTGAAGAAGATAGGAGGGCTATATACAGTATCCCGATTAGCCTCAAAGACAGAAAGGACGGTTTCTGGTGGAGCAAAGAGAATAATGGTCTTTTTACGGTGAAGAGCTGTTACAAATCTCTTATGCAGATCGAGGAACCAGGGGGCTGGGATGGATGGAAATCCTTTTGGGAATTAAAAATCCTGCCAAAGGTAAAATATTTTTTATGGCAGGTTCTGAATGGCTCTTTACCATCGGGAGATAATCTGGAGAAGAGGGGGGTGCCCATCCTGAGGCTGTGTAAGATCAGCGGCCAAGCAGATGAGACTACGGAGCACGCATTGATGACATGTCCGAAGGCAGCAGAGACATGGGAGGAAGCGGGAGTGCTTCTCGGAAACGGAGAGATGACCTTTCAGGTATGGCTCCAAAGACTTCTCTCGTGTGCAGATAAAGGCTTAAGTTCCAAGGTAGCTATGATCACATGGGGCTTATGGAAGAGAAGAAACTCATTTGTTTGGGAGGACGAGATGCAAGAGTCGGCCAGCTTGTTGAACAGTTGTGCTTATATGCTACAAGCTTGGCGAGAGGCTCAAGGAGAGCCGAATCTGTCAGGAAGAAGGGGCGGAAGGGGGAATCCGAGATGGGGAAAACCAAGGCCGGGCTGCTTAAAAATAAATGTGAATGCCGCAACAGATATGAACCGGGGTAGACGAGCTTGGGGTTGGGTGGCAAGGGATGAACAAGGCAATTTTGTCAAAGGTGGAGGGGGATCAATATCGGCTGACTGGAAGTCCAGCGGAGGCTGAAGCTATGAGGATAAGAGAGGCTTTCAAGGTGAGTAATCAGGAAGGCTGGGAAAACATAGAACTGGAGTCTGACGCTCAGACGGTCATACGAGGTATTAAGGGAGGGGGTGGGTTAGCCTACTTGGACCTCATTATTGATGATATTTGATCCATGTTAAGTACAAAGAGCAATTTTCATGTCTCTTAATGTCCACGGTCTGCGAATCATGTTGCTCACAAGCTTGCTAGAGCACATGTTTCCATCTCAGATCATAGTTGTAGTTATGATATAGTGCCAAATTGTATTGTAAGCCTTTTGGCGAATGACTTTCTCAATCAGTAATAAAGTGACTAGTCTCGGTTTAAAAAAAAATCGTTATTTTATTACTTTCTGACTTTCTAAGGAACTATACTACTTCGTTTAAGCTATATTAAAAAAAGAACTATACTATATGCTAGGGGTGGACAATTCGGTTTACGGCTCGCTTTTCATCGGTACGGTTCGGTTTATTCGATTTAGGAGATACCGTACCAAACTAAAACCATTTGTGTTTTGTCACGTCCCAGACCGCATCTAAGCGCGTGTTCAACCGCCGTATGACTTAATGACGTCACTCGCAAGTCAACGTAACTTAATCATACAAGACGTCCATGAACATAGTCCATACCATACTCAGTAAGTAAACATACATAACAACATCACATATTTGGATTGAACGAATATCAGAAATATTCAACATTCAATCATGGGCCACACATGGTCAAAACGTAGGCTCGCAGGCCCAAAACAAATGTATTTATTACAAAGTATCCATGAGCATAGTTTATAGTTTTAAATAGTAAAGGAAGCATGAACCACATCTTCCTTTAGATCACTTCACCGAGCAAGGTGAGAATAGCAAGCTTGAGCTTCAACCTGAAATGGTGCCCCCCCGAAGGGGTCAGTACAAGTACCGAGCGAGTAGCAGGTTAAATGTAGAATAACTAACATTTCAAGTACAAGACCAAAACATAGGGTGATACATATACATATATCTCTTTCCCCCAAGTTCTGAAATACATATCAATATATCTATACACTGGGAAATACCCGACCCGTAGGTCATTGTTTATTTGGGAAAATAGTACAGTCAATATCTTGACTTAAACCCCAACCCACCCATATACCTATGAGTGTAAAGAACTCCTCCTGGTTCAAATCATCTTAACATGAGGACACCGCCCGGTCCTGAATTACAAAATAGTAATTTATGAGTTTTGAGGATACACACCCGATCTTTGGGTACTCCACTCTCTACAGTTGAGTTTTGAGGATACACGCCCGATTCTTGGGTACTCCACCCTATAACTGAGTTTTGAGGATAACCGCTCGATCCTTGGATACTCCACCCTATAACCGAGTTTTGAGGATAACCGCCTGATCCCTGGGTACTCCACCCTATAACCGAGTTTTGAGAATAACCGCCCGATTCCTGGGTACTCCTATAATACTTCGAAAATTTAAATAAAATATAATAGTTTTAAGATATCAATTAGGTAAAAATGTAACTTGTGAAAAAGTGACATTTTAACAATTTTAAACCAAAGTGTATTGATAATAACAATAACAACAACAACAAAGGTTGATTCTTTTCTCTTTACATATAAAAACTAAAAACGCCTATACACATGTTCGTACTTAGTCATGGCCAGGCAATTATTCTACATTATAACACAAATAAATGATACTTGTTGTAAAATGGCTAGAATGACATGTGTGAATTGTCCATCCTTGTAATCAGGACACCTAGCTAGTTCTCATCCTTACTCATCAAACACAAGTCCTTGTAATCACACACATGGCTAGATTCAATACTGCCAGCAAATCATGTAGAATCATTCCTAGATGATTCATCTCATGCCTGGCTAGTATAAATAGGGCTTGCTCAAACTCTTGTAAATATATTCAGAACTTAGAAATTCTAAAAAATCTAAGTTATATTAAGAAGAAGAAATTTAGAGCTTATTAATAATATCTATCTCTAAAACTTGGTCTTCATCTTCTTCATTTCATAACACGTTATCAGCACGAATCTGCTCAAAACTCTTCAAGAAATCATCTTCCTGCAGGTAAGAACATCAGTACTCCATATTAATTATTTACGCTATTGTTCTCAAGTCATTAAAAAATACTTTTCAGAATATAATACTACGCAAGTTATTAGTAAGTATTCTAATTGGTTTCCAAAATAAAACTTACGGAGTTTCTTTAATTTAATAATAATAATAATAATAATAATAATAAAAGGAATAGAGCTTACCTCCTTTTAAGTGTTCTCCAATCTTGATAAGCTCTCCGTAATAGAACAAAAGTAGAAACAAATTATGATCTCAGCAAGAATAGAATAGCGGTACACAATATACTATATACTCCGTATAAAATAAAGATGAAAGAAGATAGTCATAGAGAACAATTTAGACCGGCCGAAGCTACATATATGATATACGAAGTACTCCCTCCGTCCCCTTTTAAATGTTCCGTTTTACCATATTGGGATGTCCCTATTTAATTGCTACATACCTTATTTGGTAAACTTTGTGTGGCTCAAAATCATTCTTACTTTATTCTTACTTTATCAATTAATATCAACCATACAAACTCACTTTTCTTAAAACCCGTGCCACCATCTCCCGTTCCATTTAAGAGGGGACGGAGGGAGTACATCTCAGACATGCAATATAATAATGATCGATTAGTAGATTTTAAGACATGTGTCATTCATGCAGTTACCCCATTTGTTTTTTTTACAACAGTCATAAACTCATAATACATTGAAATAATACTTAACTGTTATAATATGGAAGGAAATAAGCAGAAGATCAGGGAGAGAAATATAGTATGAACACTTGGTGATAGATTATGTTATTGAGAGTGGTAATGGTGTTGTAATGGTGTGTTAATTACAATGGAGAAGCCTCCTATTTATAGGAGAAAGGTTAAGCTTCATAGGATTAGAGGATAATTGTGAACCACACAATTATCATCTAGAATCATAATTATGATTTCCTGATTATTTATATAACGGTGATAATAATTCCTAATGAGGAATAGTTAGAAGATGACTAATTCAATAATATTTCAACACTCCCCCTTGAATGGTCATCTTCTAATTATTCTGAGATATTAGTTTCATAGTATTATAATGTACTGTCTCGTTAAAAACCTTTGTCAAGAAAAACCCAGTGGGATAAAAACCTGACGAAGGGAAAAAGAGTGCAGTGCATTATATTACTCCCCCTCAATTTAACATATATTTCGAAGACGATACATTCCAATTTTATGGACCAGTTCTTCAAATTTCTTCGGTGTCAATGACTTTGTGAACAAATCAGCAGGGTTGTCGCATGACTTGATTTGTTTGACATCAACCGTTCCGTCATTCTCAAGATCATGTGTGGAGAAAAGTTTTGGTGCTATATGCTTTGTTCTGTCCCCTTTGATGTAACCTCCTTTGATCTGAGCTATACATGCTGTATTATCTTCATAAATCACAGTAGGATTAGAAGTAAAAGATTTTATACCGCATTCATTTTGTATGTGCTGGATCATTGATCTCAACCAGACACACTCACAACCTGCTTCATAAAGAGCAATTAATTCTGCATGATTTGATGATGTTGCAGTTAATGTTTGCTTCATTGATCTCCATGATATAGCGGTATCACCATAGGTGAATAAATATCCTGTTTGTGATTTTGCCTTTTGTGGATCAGACAAGTATCCTGCATCCGCGTAGCCAATTAAAGTGGCATTTGCACCATTCTTGAAATACAATCCAAGATCGATTGTACCATTGAGATATCGGAATATATGTTTGACACCATTCCAATGCCTTCTTGTTGGGGAAGAACTGTACCTGGCTAATAAATTTACAGAAAAAGAAATATCTGGTCGAGTATTATTAGCCAAATACATTAATGCTCCAACAGCACTCAAATATGGTATTTCGGGACCAAGGATTTCTTCATCATCTTCACAAGGTCGGAAAGGATCATCATGCACATTGAGAGATCGAACCACCATTGGAGAATTGAGCGGATGTGCTTTATCCATGTAAAATCGCTTCAAAAGTTTCTCAGTATAATTTGATTGGTGGATGAAAATACCATTTCTCAAATGTTCAATTTGAATGCCGGGACAAAATTTTGTTCTCCCAAGGTCTTTCATTTCAAATTCTTTCATGAGATATTTTGCAGTATTTTCAATTTCATTAGGAGTTCCGATTATATTCAAATCATCAACATATACTGCAATTATGGCGAATCCTGATTCGGATCGCTGAATGAAAACACATGGACTAATAGGATCATTTTTATACCCTTCTTTAATAATATTCACTGAGACGGTTATACCACATGCGTCCAGATTGTTTTAATCCATATAATGACTTTTGCAATTTTATGGAAAATAAATCTCGAGATTTCGAGCTATAAGCATCAGGTATTTTAAAGCCTCCAGGAATTCTCATATATATGTCTGTATCGAGTGAACCGTATAAATATGCGGTCACCACATCCATTAGGCGCATTTGCAGCCTTTCAAAAACAGACATGCCAATTAAAAATCTTAAAGTTGTAGCATCAACTACTGGAGAATACGTCTCATCATAATCGATTCCTGGCATTTGAGAAAAACCTTGGGCAACAAGTCGGGCTTTGTATCTAACGATTTCATTTTTCTCGTTGCGTTTACGCACAAAAACCCATTTAAAACCGACAGGTTTTACGCCTTTTGGCGTATGGACAATTGGTCCAAAAACATTACGCTTTTCTAGCTATTTTAATTCTACCTGAATTGCTTCATTCCATTTTGGCCAATCATTTCTACGACGACATTCGTCAATAGATTTAAGCTCATTGTCATCGTGTTCATTCATTATATCTGTGGCGATGAATGAACATGTTATTGAGAGTGATAATGGTGTTGTAATGGTGTGTTAATTACAATGGAGAAGCCTCCTATTTATAGGAGAAAGGTTAAGCTTCATAGGATTAGAGGATAATTGTGAACCACACAATTATCATCTAGAATCATAATTATGATTTTCTGATTATTTATATAATGGTGATAATAATTCCTAATGAGGAATAGTTAGAAGATGACTAATTCAATAATATTTCAACATTAACTCATTAGTCACAAGCACCACATTATTCATGTCAGGAGTCTTTTCATACTGTATATATTAAATAAAATAATAAATAAAGTAAAGCGAAATAAATGCTTTCAGAAAAATCACCACATGACTATGTAAACCTTGATCGGTGAACTTTGTTGTTATTCTCAGATCAATAAAAAGTTTTTTGTCTTTGTACATCACAATCATTTTTAACAACATGTCTAGAAACTATTCCGTATATATTCTGATTGGAGTTAAACTTGACTAAATAACATACGTAGACTACGTAGTACTATTATTTAGTCTCATACGGAGTATTAACTATGTATTCAAATTTGAGGTGATCTCATGAATTATAAACGCCGAAATCAAAGTATTTATAAACTAGTTATCATATACGGAGTATAATTTACATTTAAATCTCATTTTTTATCGATAATAATTTAAATCAATAATTTTTGTAGTATATAATGGCAAATATTAGCAAAAGAGAATTCAACGTCCTTGATATGTCCGGGCAAAAATACTTGGAATGGAATGTGGACGCCTACCAACACAAGGTCCTTTTGCCTAAAGCTCAGTATGACTGGATCAATCTAAGATTCCAGGATTTTAAATCAATCAGTGACTATAACTCTGCTATGTCCCATATAACATCCAAACTAAATTTATGTGGACAAAAAGTCACTGACACTGATATGTTAGAGAAAACCTTTTCCACTATGCATATTTCTAATATGTTGCTCCAACTGCAATATAGAGAAAAGGGTTTTAAAAAATACTCTGACCTAATATCAATATTGCTGGTAGCTGAGCAAAATAATGATCTTTTGATGAAACACCACAATTTGTGATCCACCGGGTATAGTCCTTCTGTTTATGGTCCATCTGACCATAATTTAGCCACTGAATCAAATACAACATACATTGACATTTGGAGGCATTATTTTAATGGATGATGCCATTATATACGGATGACGCTTTTACCATAGACCAAAATGTTACAAAATTAAATATTACTCCTTATGTTGTAAAATTTTTATGTACTTTTCTTTATTTCTCTTTATGTTTTTTTATAAACAAGTGTGTAATATACTACGTATGTACTTTGATGTTATATATGATGAATAATTCGTGATATTTTCATATCAAACTTATGTTTGTTTACATATATTGAAGATATGGATCACTCAAATGATAAAGAGCTATGTCTGATAGACAGCGCCACAACGCACACCATTTTGAGAAATAAAATATATTTTTCTCAAATGACTTTAGTTGAAGCTAAAGTCAATACAATATCAGGTGTTGCGAAGCTCATTGAAGGCTCTGGGAAAGCATATGTGATGCTCCCTAACGGGACAAAAATAATTATAAATGACGCTCTATACTCCACCAAATCGCGGAGAAATTTATTAGGCTTTAAAGAGATGCGTCAAAATGGTTATCACATAGAAACCATGAATGAAAATCAAAAGGAATATATTTGTCTAACGACAACTAAATCTGGCACTAAATGTATTTGTGAAAAAATGCCAGCATATTCCTCAGGACTATATTTCACTCATATTAGTCCATTTGAAATAAATTTGGTTTCTAACGCAAAGTTAGATGATCAGAAAACATTCATGTTGTGGCATGACCGTTTAGGTCACCCAGGCCAAGTAATGATACATAAAATCATTAAGACTTCACTTGGACACCCATTAAAGAATATTAGGGTTCCATTATCAAGTGATTTTCCTTGTAAGGCCTGTTCTTTTGTCAAAATGATCATCAGGCCTCCCATGAACAAAATTGCAACTGAATCACCTGCATTTTTAGAAAGGATTCAAGGAGATATTTGTGGGCCGATAGCCCCACCATGTGGACCATTTCGATATTTTATGGTGTTGATTGATGCTTCAACACGTTGGTCACATGTTAGTCTTTTATCGACTAGAAATTTAGCATTTGCTAAACTCCTCGCTCAAATTATACGATTAAGAGCTCATTTTCCGGATCATTCTATAAAGAGAATCCGACTTGATAATGCAGGAGAATTTACTTCCCAATCATTTAATGACTATTGTATGTCGATTGAGATTGATGTGGAGCACCCTGTTGCTCATGTCCATACACAAAATGGTCTTGCTGAATCTTTGATTAAACGATTACAATTAATCGCTAGACCATTATTAATGAAGTGTAATTTACCTTCATCAGCTTGGGGGCATGCTATTTTGCATGCAGCAAATTTAATTCGGCTTAGACCGACTGCATATCATGAATATTCCCCAATGCAATTAGTTACTGGACAAGAGCCAAACTTAGCACACATAAAAATATTTGTTTGTGCTGTTTATGTTCCGATTGCTCCACCTCATCGTACAAAAATGGGTCCTCAAAGAAGGTTGGGAATTTATGTTGGATTTGAATCTCCCTCGATAATCAAATATCTTGAACCGATGACTGGTGACTTATTCACCGCACGGTTCACTGACTGTCATTTCAATGAGACAGTATTCCCAACCTTAGGGGGAAAAACTAATAAATCGGACCCAAGTACGAAAGAAATAACATGGAATGCAACAGAATTATCACACCTTGATTCTAGAACAAATATATGTGAGTGAGAGGTGCAAAAGATAATCCATTTACAAAATGTTGCAAATCAGTTGTCTGATGCATTCATAGATACAAAGAAAGTGACAAAGTCACATATTCCTGCTATGAATGCCCCTGGCAGAATCGAAATTCCAGCAGAGAATTTTGAAAAATCTCTTGCAAATGATTCTTCTATACGCAAAAAGTGTGGTAGGCCACTTGGATCAAAAGACATAAAACCAAGAAAAACTAAAAGGCAGGAATCGATCTGTGATGTCAAAGATGTTCATCCTTCTAAACAAGAACATGAGCAATTTGAAAATACTAGCATAGAAAATGATATTGACAAAACAAACATCTCAAATGATGATCCAACTTCCTTAAATGAGGAAGATGTTCCAGATAATGATAGAAACGTTGATAATTATGAAATTTCAATAAACTACGTTTCTACTGGAATGCAATGGAATCGAAAAGATATTGATATTAATGAGATATTTGTCTATGCCGTTGCCACAAATGTTATGAATGAAAACAATGACAATGAGCAACATCAATTGAAGAATGTCGGAAACGACTAGATTGGCCAAAATGGAATGAAGCTATTCAGGCTGAATTAAAATCACGTGAAAAACGTGATGTTTTTGGACCGATAGTCCCTACGCCCCAAGACGTAAAACCTGTGGGTTTTAAATGGGTATTTTTGCGTAAACGCAATGAGAAAAATGAAATTGTTAGATATAAAGCCCGACTTGTTGCCCAAAGTTTTTCTCAAATGCCGGGAATCGATTATGAAGAAACCTATTCTCCAGTAGTTGATGCAACTACATTAAGGTTTCTCATTGGCATGTCTGTTTTTGAAAGGCTGCAAATGCACCTAATGGATGTTGTTGTAACACTTGAGATTTAATATAAACGGATTAATAGTACTACTCATACCAACAGAGGTGCATCTCCTTTTAAGGGAGCTCATCACCCAAGAACTCCAAAGTTAAGCGTGCTTGCACGGGAGTAGTCTTGGGATGGGTGACCCCCTGGGAAGTTTCTCAGGGCGCGCATGAGTGAGGACAAAGTGCGCGGTAAAGGCTCGTGGTGGTTTGTGGGGACTGTACTATTGGTCCGGAGTAACTACCTCGGGTCCGGTGGGGCCGGGGTGTTACAAATGGTATCAGAGCAACCCTGCGACAGTGTGTTGACCCGTTGGATATCGGGCGGGCACTTAGCAGGGGAAAAGATTCTGGGGTGTGATTGAGATTGGTTTAAGGGCGCAACGAGGACGTTGCGATCCTAAGTGGGGGTGATTGTAACACTTGAGATTTAATATAAACGGATTAATAGTACTACTCATACCAACAGAGGTGCATCTCCTTTTAAGGGAGCTCATCACCCAAGAACTCCAAAGTTAAGCGTGCTTGCACGGGAGTAGTCTTGGGATGGGTGACCTCCTGGGAAGTTTCTCAGGGCGCGCATGAGTGAGGACAAAGTGCGCGGTAAAGGCTCGTGGTGGTTTGTGGGGACAGTACTATTGGTCCGGAGTAACTACCTCGGGTCCGGTGGGGCCAGGGTGTTACAGTAGTGACCGTCTATCTATATGGTTCACTTGATACAGACATTTATATGAAAGTTCCCGGTGGATTTAAAATGTCTGAAGCTTATAGCTCAAAACCTCGAGACATGTTTTCCATTAAATTACAAAAGTCATTGTATGGACTAAAACAATCTGGACGAATGTGGTATAATCGTCTCAGTGAATACCTTCTCAAAGAAGGATATAAGAATGATCCGATTAGTCCATGTGTTTTCATTCGGCGATCAAATTCGGGATTCGCCATAATTGCAGTATATGTTGATGACTTAAACATTATTGGAACTCCCGATGGAATTGAAAATACTGCAAAATATCTTATGAAAGAATTTGAAATGAAAGATCTCGGGAGAACCAAATTTTGTCTCGGGCTTCAAATTGAGCATTTGAAGAATGGAATTTTCATCCACCAATCCAATTACACCGAGAAAGTGTTGAAGAGATTCTATATGGACAAAGCTCATCCTTTGACTTCACCAATGGTCATTCGATCTCTCAATATACACGATGATCCATTCCGTCCCCGAGAAGACGACGAAGAAATACTTGGTCCCGAAGTACCATATTTGAGTGCTATTGGAGCTTTAATGTATTTAGCTAATAATACTAGACCAGATATTGCATTTTATGTAAATT